AGTTAGTTGTACATGTGTACATACAATAGATATCTGTGAATTAGATATGTGCATAAACAATTAGGTCACATGACCGGATAATAGTTTATCCAATTCTCTTCTTCCATGTGCACAATACCCAGTTAGTAGTACATGTGTACGTACAATAGATATCTGGACATTATATATATTTTTGGTTTTTTGTTTAACGTTGTATGTTGCTCGAAATTCGGTTAACTGTTAATTAAAATTCAATTCACTTAATTTGAACGTTAAACAAAACAAATCTATTAGTTAACTATTAATTAGACATGAGTTACAATTGACACAAAAAATAACTTTTAGTGTCATGTGCGATCACGCCAGAAGCGGGAAATCCCCTGAAAAGTCATTCTCGGGTTTAGCGTAGCTGTAGTTCAATAAGTGTTGGTTTCGCCGTAATTCGCAGTACTTCCAAGCTAACTAACTGCAGCTACGACTCAGTATAACGACTTCACACTACTCCACTCTTGGGCGATCGATTCGTCCCAAATCACATTCGTCCTACAGGTTGATTCGTCCCAAGTTGATTCGTACCAAAAATTTATTTGTCGATTCGTAGCAAAGTTGATCCGTCCGATATATTAGTTAGTTCGACACTAACTCGTCCAATGACCGCAACAACAACGACAAACTTTATCTAATCGTAGTCACGGAATCATCTTCAATAAGTTAGCACCCTGAAGACTGAACCCCAGTCGTGTATTGTATCACACTTTGCATTACGTTAATCCGTTAATAGTCAAATCAAGTTATTCATATTTCATAATTATAGCATAATTAACTAATGTGACGGAGTGTTGGTAAACATTGTAAACGTTGTTTATTTCTGATTATCGGAAAATAAAAAAAATATTGCTTTCCGATTGTATTTTACATGTATCAAGCTTGATTGTCTCTGAACAAAGGCAATGGACCGAAAGTGTATAGTGTAAGTGTTCTTTTCTTGTTGTTGTTGACTTGTATGTTACTTCTTACGCCGTTTCAAAGGCTAATAAAATTATTATTATTATTATACTTCCAAGCTAACTAACTGCAGCTACGACTCAGTCTAACGACTTCACACTACTCCATACAAATGAAACAAAAGTAAAAGTGGCAAAAAACTGACTTCAAATACGACTGCAAATCTCTGTGGGCTTGACACAAATTCTAGTTCGGTTTAATCGACAACAATAAACATGAACTTCGTTCACAATTAAAACACAGTAAGGTGACTGGTCTTTAGGTGTGGTTTGTGCGGCGTACATACCCTGTATTGCAAGTTTGTAAATAATTTAAGACTTTAAATATCGTTGGTTCTTACCTACATCCATTTCTCGCTCCATGTCTACATTAAAAATAATGGCAACAGTTATTACCATCGTTATGATCAAGATGACAACTACTGATATCACACTCTCAATGACGAGTTTGTGCATTCTGTGGTCACGCTTCTGCTTTTTGACTTTGATAGCTTCATTATTAACGTCTTCCATTTTTACGACTTCCGGGTACTACTAGTATCTGAGTATATATTACGTTTCGGTCACATGTATTACGGTATTATACTTTCCGTATGACGTATCTTAGTTTATTTGAATAAAGACACCCTAACTCGCCACAATTTGTGCTAGATCGAATGTAAAGCAGCGTAACCATAAACAAGGTAGACAATATAAATTAAAGGGGCGATCGATTCGTCCCAAATCACATTCGTCCTACAGGTTGATTCGTCCCACAAATTTATTTGTCGATTCGTAGCAAAGTTGATCCGTCCGATATATTAGTTAGTTCGACACTAACTCGTCCAATGTCCGCAACAAGAACGACAAACTTTATCTAATCGTAGTCACGGACTCATCTTGCATAAGTCAGCACCCTGAAGACTGAACCCCAGTCGTTTATTGTATCACACTTTGCATTACGTTAATCCGTTAATAATCAAATCAAGTTATTCATATTTCATAATTAATTAATGTGTCGAAGTGTTGGATAAACATTGTAAAAGTTGTTTATTTCTGAATATCGGGAAATAAACAAATATTGTTGTAAAGGCTTTCCGATTGTATTTTATATGTATCAAGCTTGATTGTCTCTGAACAAAGGCAATGTATCGATAGTGTATTGGGACAAGTGTGAATTGGGACGAATCATAGAGGGTCTATGGACGAATCGAGTTGGGGATGACGAGGTTGCGTGAGTTGCTCCTCCACGGTGCTCCAAACCCATGTCTGACGCCGTTCGGCCGGCGAGGACCTACTCACGCCTACATGTCAGGCAAACTTAAGGAACGAATGTGAATTGGGACGAATTGACCGTGAATCAAATTAAAGCCCAACGATCGATGTTCAAACGTGGGTTCTAGTGACGTATACAACACGTGTTAAACATATTGTTTGTTCATACAAAATTCGAACAGACACTGCGTTGTGGCTGTCGACCATTTCACAGGCACCCACGTGTTGGACAGGTTGGTCTACAAACTGCCCACGCGAGATGAATATGCGAGAAGTGAGAACAAATATTGAACAAAAATGGAATATGCAACGTCCACAACGCGTGTACGACATCGCGGCGCTTACGTCATCAACAGAAATTACGTTTTGTACGAGGTAAACTTTACAATGTCTAAATACCTTAAGTTTAGTAAAATGTCAGCGGAGAATATTTGCGCAGTCAACCCGGGATGAGAGATAAAGAGAATATTTTTAGAAATAGTAATTTGTAAGTGTTATTAAACGTTCTATTAATTGTGAGATTGAACATGATTTTCAAGACAAAGTCGCTTTTTTGAAAAATTGGATTACGTTGCTATAAATATAGAAAGACACTCAGGGCCACTATTTTTTAAAAGTTGGTGACCCTGGTGTCTACCACATTATTTGTGGGGATTTATAACACTGACCTTAATATGCTTTCGGAAAAAGCATGAACTGTTTCATGTTGTAACCACCTCATGCCGCAAAAGAGGCTAGTGTTTTACGACGATGCAGGGTTTTTGTCCAAACCACAGCTATACGAAAGATTAGTTAGCGCCGACCTTATGTAAATATACGAATTCAAATCAACATGGAGTATGTGTCGCTATGGCAAGACATTTCAACTCTTCACGAATTGACTATGAATGATATCATTTATCGTGTAACCGGGTTTCTTTGGGATCCTGGCAGGAATTGTAATGGGATGTACTTGGTTATGTTTCACTCGCTTGGCAGTACTTTCGGAGACTACTTTCACCCATGACGCAATATGTCATGTATATTCCTCGGACTTACGGCGCTGTAGGCGTTCACAGAGTTAAGTTAACCTCATGCCCCGTATCAAAAATAGGTTTATATAGATAATAAATGCTAACTTTAGCAGATTTAAATATGAAAAACATTAAAAAAATCGACAACTCGGCTTCGAATATCCTGACAAGTTTGCGTGAGTTACGCCCTTTGCGGTGCTCCAAACCCAACAGTGAGGTTCGGCAGGCGAAGGCGCCAGTCACGCCGACATGACATTAATCAACCACATGAAAGAAACGCACATATTGTTTCGCTCAAACTTTGACAAAATTGACACCTACTGTAATCTAGAGAAATCACTTGAAAAATATTAAGATTAGATCACGCAGATGCACACATAATAAATCCTCGGGTGAACGACCGCTGAACAGACACGTTTGCTCCAACTTTGATCCAAGTTATGTACGCCCTCAAACGGCACTCAGCGGAAAACATTGCATTGCTTGGTCCATTCGTTTATTTAAATCTGGATATTCAGTTGTACGATCTGTGAGAAAGGTAAATATTATGTGACCTCACACCTTGATACAATTGTAATTGTCATGTGAACGCCCTCTTCAAACAGTGGTGCACCCTACTTTACACAGAGCAGCACCCATGGGAAATGGTATTATTTACAAAAAAGTAATTAATATTTGTTGGGAGTAAAAATATTTTGTCATTTAATTCGGTTTCTTTTTGTAAGTCACCAATATCATATATGACCTGATCATTTAAATATAATGACCACGCACACATGTACACGTCTTACCATCGTTGTGACGACACGCACCGGATTAACTTTTAATATAGTGACGTTATATTTTGAGTAAAACGCGAATGTATATATGGTTGCGATTTGATTGGAATTGAATTAAACTCAATTACTTTGCAATTCAATATAGAATAGCATTTTAGTTCAAGTTTAATTAAATAAAAACGCAACAAAGTAGGAATAACATCATACATCCTGCGACTTGACATAGCTATGTTTGCGAAGCTTGGTGTTAGTATAGTGGGTATGGTACAGTTATATTAATATAAAGTGTACCATATCCTTTACTAAACCTAAACTACGCAAAACTGACTTAATTTTCATTTAATGTAATTTATGTAAAATAGTGAGGGTCGTTACTTGGTAGGTTTGAAGTTAAATCGCGGTGGTTGTCGCGCAGCGCGTGTTTGAATTTCATGAAAATAAACAATGTATTTTACTCGACGCGTTGTATACGTCGCTATGAGTCCCATATCGAACAGAACGCGGTAAATTGATGTCGTCACAACGTTGATTAGACAAACGCACACACACTCAATTTAATCTCGAAAAACTCCAACATCCCCATCAAAACTCTGAAATGATTTGTGAGTCATAGACTCTAAATACCTAATTAGAGAAAACAAAACCATCAGTGCTTTGAAGTGAAA